CAGACATGACCTTGTTTAAACAATAGCACCCTGGGACGTAAGGGAACCCAGGCCTGACAGGTCTTCCTGAGTTCGCTCCTTATGACCAGTTCTTCCCCAGGAAGGTAAGTGTGTGCCCGCCTGGGTGTGGTGACCCTGCCCGGGGCATGAGTGCCCTCTTCCTCAGCACACACAGGCTTTGTTGGCAGAAAAGGGCCCGAAACTGGAGCAAGCCCAGGCACCCGCTTCAGCGACCACAGCCCCGAACCCCTAACCTCCTACCACTCACTGACCCAGCTTTTTCTTTTCACAATCAGTGTTTTGGCCGCGTGAGTTCATTTGTGACTGCTTGGACCTAACTAGCTTCACATGAGAAACAAACCTGTGATGTCAACATTCAGAGATGAAGGCTTGGGCACCTGGCGTGGACAGCTTTTCCCCGTAAGGAAGCAAGGCTGCCTTGATGGGCTGTGCCCATGAGAGGGGTTAGCTCGAGCGACCCACGGAGCGTCTTCCATATGGAGAGCAAGTCCTTGATGAAAATGAGAGATGAACAGGACTGCGACCCCCACGCGTTCCGGCCGTTGTTGTGTAAATAAACATACATCCCCATCTCAACTGTTTGCCATTAAAAGGGAGGTCCTTAATTCAGGACCGATTTTTTTTTTTTTACTCTAACCCACAGACTTAGTCTCTCTGTGTTTCTTTCTTTCCTACATTTTGCAACACGAGCGCAAAGAAATTAGGAAATAGATTAAACAGCTGTACGTGTTTCAACCCACATACCCAGCACACAGGCCTCTTTTCCCTCTCTCTGGATCCTCGTCTTCCGCTGTGCTTGCTGGCAAGAGACCGCCGCGTGCAAAGGAGCAAATGGTGAAGGAAATTCACGTGACGCCCTGGCCAGCAAGTGCGTTTCAATCCAACACAGCTGTGGAACAAGGCACAGACATGTGTGTGCTACCCACAACCACCGAGCCCTTTTGAACTCATTAGAAACAGATCTAGCGCTGGGAAGCCCTGATTATCAGACGTTTGCTGACCCGTTGTGTAACAACCTTGGAAGCAGGCTCCCTGCCGCAGCTGGAAAACGCAGAGCAGCTTCGAATCAAAGACTCTTCCGAGGGCGGCAGAGCGAACAAAGGCCTCCGAGAACTCACCGGCCGCTCCGGTCCTGTTTTCATTAAACCTCTTGTGGGTTCTTTTCCGAAGACTGATTCATCCTCCAAGACTTCATTCAGGAAACCTCTCTGCACACGTCGTGCTAAAAATTGTTTGGGAAACGTAGCTCTGTGAGCTGCTCTTCTATTAGTAAAAAAAAAAATATCTCTGAGCAACCGAGAAGGCTAGTATACCAATCTTTCCATGTTCACCAAGTTTTCCCAAAGCTTCCACCTGCCGATTACACGTTTTGAGACGTGCGAGGGAAGGCTCACGCGTGGCTTTAGCTGTGGTGTGGACAGCAAATGTGATGGCGGGCCTTTCCTTCCCGCTGCTGTCTCGTCACCAGAAATGAGCCTCACCTGCACGCTTGTGAACTCTGCTATAAAAACTCCCTGCTTAGCAAGGACTCCTGCTTTTTCTGTCTTGTCTTTTAAGGCCAAACGCAAGTCTTGTTTCTCAAAAGGGTTCCCTGAGGCCCTTTTCCGCACTCATTCTGAACCCCTTGAGTGAGAACAACTGAAGTCTGCTTCACTGCCTCTGTGAACCCCCAGGACCCTTGTGCCCTGGCCCCCGGGCACCGTGAAGGGCATGCGTTCTCTATTCTCGGTCCCCTCCATGGCATGGCTGTGTCACAGCGTGTGTGTTAACCTCCACACGCAGAAGGACATCTGGGCTCTGCCCAGTGTTTGTCTGTCATGAGAGAAGCTGCTCTGAGTCTCATGTACAGATTTTCCTGTGCACGTAAATTTTATTTCTGTGGGAATCAACGCCCAAGTGCGCAGATGAGGATTAAAGTGCAGACATGGATTGCAGTGACGTTAGATGGATATTTCGTTCATAAGAAACCGCCATTGTCTCCCATGGTGGCGGCGTCATTTTTCCAAGTCCCACCAGCAACCGACACGTGGTCCGGTTTCTCCCCTCCTCACCAGCATGAGGGGTTGCCACTATTTTTTATTTTAGTCATTCTGATAGGGATGGAGTGATATCTCATTGTGGTTTAATTTGCATCTCCTTAATGGCTAATGATAATGAGCATCTTTTCATGGACCACTTTGCCATCTGTATATCTTCATGGCAAAATGCCCATTTATATCTTTTGGCATTTTCTAATTGGATTGTTTATTTTATAGTATTGAGTTTGGGGAGTTCTTTTTATATAGTTCAGATAATTGTCATTTGTCAAATATGTGCTTTGCAAATATTTTCTCTCAGTCAATATTTTCTCCCGAGTCTATAACTTATGTTTTCATTGTCTTAATATGACCTTCCATGGAGCAAAGTTTTACATTTTGATGAAGTCCAATTTATAATTTTTCCTTTTATGGATCCTGCCTTTGGTGTTGGTGCCTACGAATTTTATGCCTAGCCTTAGATACAGACGTTTATCTCTTATTTTTTTCTTCATGTTTAATAGTTTAGTATTTTACTTTTTAAAAAGCCTCTTTGGAGTTAATTTTTGCATAAGGTATAAAGTTTAGGTTAAGGTCCATTTGCTGCTTGGTTTTGCCTATAGATGACTAATTGCTCCAGCAGCACTTGCTGAAAAGACTATCTTTTCTCCATTAAATAGGTTTTGCACTTTTGTGAAAAGTCAATGTGTGTGTTTGTGTGAGTCCTTTCTGGGTTCAGTCTTCTGCTCCGCTGACCTGCATGTCTGTCCCCTACCAGTGCCACACACTCCTGAATCCTGGACAGAAAGCATTAAGCAGAGTAATTCCGCTTTCTTCTCTCTTTTTTTTTTTTTTTAGCTATTCTAGGGTCTATGACTTCCAATGCACATTTTAGAATAAGCGTCTCCATGTTTGAAAACCTTGCTGGAATTTTGAAAGGGATTTCATTAAGCATAAGAATCAATTTAGGGAGAGGAGTCTGTTACCAGGATGACTCTTCCAATCCCTGAGCACACTCTGTCTATATATTTATTTAGAAATACCTGCCCGTTTGTTTAAGTCTTCTGTGATCTCTTTCTTCAGCACTTCGCAGCTTTCCGCCCACGGACCCTGTACACGATTTGTCAGTGATCCACTTTCTTTGACGTGACTGTAATCGATAGTGTGTTTAATTTTGTTTTGTGCGCGTTCCCTGTTTCTCCCCAGAAGCTCAGCTGACTCCGTGTGTTGGTCTTCTGTTCTGCTAACTTGCTGAACTCATTCATTTCTCAGGTCAGGAGTCGGACGCATTTTTAGGGTCTCCTGCACAGACTTTCTTGCCATGTGCCAGTGGAGACGGTGGTACCCCCTCCTAGCCTGCGTGCTTTCACTGTCTTGGTCTCGCCTATTGGCCCAGTGCCGTGTGGGGTGAGAATTCTGAGAGCAGTAACCCTTCCCTCGCTTCCAGGCTGAGGGGAGAAGCACCCACTATTCAGCTCTGTGTGATAGTAGCTGTAGGCTGTACCTTTTATGCTGTGCTTTATTTTACAGAGCGCTGTTCGTTATGCAGCCTGTGAGGGTGGCACACACTTCCCATGAACTTGTTACATTTGCTACAATTAATTGACAAATATCAATACCTTCTAAGTAACTAAACTCCGTAATTTGTTCAGGTTTTCTTACTCTTCTTCTAAGGTATTTCTCTGTCCCGGGATCCCGTCCAGGACTAGGTTATAGTTGGTCACCATGCCTCCCTCAGCAACTCTTGGCTGTGACATCTTCCCAGCATTCCCGTTTGTGATGACTGTCAGGTGTGAAGAGCGCTGGTCAGGAACTCTGCCAATGTCCCTCTCCTGGGGTTTGCCTGATGCTTTTCTCATGATGAGACTGGGGTTATGGGTTTTCGGAAGGAAGAACACGGAGATCAAGTGCCACTCACATTGCATCCTGTCGAGGGGGCAGCCCGGCACCGTGGCTGAGCACTGCCAACTTCCACCTGGATCACCAGCTGAGGCGGTGCTGGTCGGCTTCTCCACCGTCACGACCCCCCCTCCCCCCACTTCCCATCCCGTCCTGTTGCAGGAGCTCACCATGACAGCCCACACCTAAGAAACGGGGGGCTATGCCCCGCCTCTTGTGGGCAGACAGGTTACCTACAGAAATTATCTGAACCCCTCTTCACGGGAGACTTGTCTTTTCTCCCCCGTCACGTATTTATTCAATTGTTTATTTACGTCAGCATGAACTGATGAATATCTGCATTACACTTGGGGTGATAACATAATATAACATTATTTATTCTGTTGCGCAGACCTTCTCAGCTTTGGCCCCTGGAGAGCCTTCAGTGGGCCTTAAGTCCTTTCACACACTTCTCTTTTTTTTTATTTTTTAAGCATGAGCTGCTCCCGGTCCACCGTATATGTTTCCTGGCTGGTCCTAGGATCAGTTATCCATCCAGCAAGCTCTGGTTGCTTCTGTTGCAGGGCGGCACGGAAACCACGCTGGGCTCCAGGTGTGCACGCTGCTGCTGGGCCGCCCTCGCCTCTGGACCCTCTCAGCTGACAGAGCAAGAAAAGTGCGTGTCGCTACACCATGTGCATAAACACGTATCTGTAATCATCTACGTTTAGCAAACCCCGAGTTCACACTGACTAACTCTGATCCTGTACCAAACACATGGGTCACTCTAGCCCCCACTTTACAGCTCCCTTATCATCTCTTTCCATCTTGCGCCCCAGGCATTTGTTTTACAGTTCCTCTTCACTGCTGAATTAAATTTAGGGACTAAATGTAATTATAGTTTGTTGTGGACATGAGGGCGACCTCACCCGTTGAGTTGGCAAACTCCCTCGCAGAGAAAGCATCTTGTGTATAATTGTGTTTCCTCAGGATGGAGCAGATGTCTTGTATGAAAAACATTCCGGAAGCAACATTGACTATTTTAGGCCATGCAGACTCTGCTGCACGACCAGAAATAATCACAGGTCCTCTTCTGTTCTCAGCTGTGTCCTCGGTATCGCGGGAAGGTAGGACTTTATGGTCCTTAAACACTGAATCACTTACACGTTGCTGCAGCTAAAAGAGAGGCTCCTGGCGGGAGTCAGAGCTGTTACCTGAGGCAGGAAATCTGGAAGCTGGCACCACGGCGAGAGGACTCAGAGGTAATCCGAGTGGCCGCAGCTTTCTTCTCTTGCCAAGCAACAAGTCTTCTCAGTCCATACGGGCGAGAGCGGCGTGTACGTGTGAGCCCCCGGTCATGCCCATGAGTGGCTCACATGAAGGTATAAAGAGGCGTCCTGTGAAACAGCGAATGCTGCCCGGGGCCAGGGCTCAGAGCCTGGGGCCCGCGTGGAGGAGGGGGTGTTGTGTGCATGTGAGAAGACCAGCTGTAAGGCAAACAAAGCCCTTCCATTTTCTTTCCTTTTCTCTCCACTTCTCTTTTTCTCCCCGCCTTCCTTTAATCTCTCTTTTTTCCCTCATTTTCCAATCATCATTAGATAATGATTTCATTGTTTCATAGCATGCACTTGGTGCTTTAAATTCCCTTGTCAAGAAAACAAGATCATAAAAACTTCATTTTTTTACATACTTGGGGAGAGGTGGCCACTCCACCCCTCTTTTCCTCATTGCTTGTATTTCAAAATCAAAAATGCAAAGAGACAGCAGTAGAAACGAGGAGAAAAGGTTAGCAGCAGAAAGCTGTAAGGCATCCCAGGACTGCGTTCCTGCGACCCCTCGTCTGACCATGACACCGTCCTTGAAGACACAGAGGGCGGATGGCAGTGTGGGCCGCCCGTCCTGCTGTGCAGCTGCTCTGACATAAAGTAGTATTTCAGCGAGGGCTTCTCAGAAGACAGCGGAGCACTCGCAGTCGCACTTGGGTTTCTGTGGCCTGCTCACTAAAGGACTGGCTGCACTTCCGGTGTGTCCAGGGACCCGGGTCTGGGCGACAGGGCCACAGGTCAGATGGCGCCCCCCACGTATGGGGCTTTGGCTCTGCAGTGACAGCACATGTGGCATGGCAGGTATGTCGGTGTCTGATCAGCCAGGCATCCCATATGCTGAACATGTGTTTCCCCGAGCAGTTGGCAGAACCCATGTGTCCGTTCCCGGCTTTTGTGTTTGCAGAGGGAGAGGAAGAGGCCAAATTCGCTAGACTTTTGATGTTATTGAGATTGTCATTTGAATAAGTTTTTTAATATATATAACATAATAACTGGATTAATACCAGTACGTTGAAAGATAAACTAATAACCAAATACATCCGTTAATTTTTTTTAAGTGTTTGTAGCACAAACATGATTGTAATTGAAAACAACCTCACAGAAACAGGGAAAAATGATTTTTATGCCCCAAGCAAAACACACACATACACACACAAACAAAAAATAAAAGACTTGAGCTGCCCCCTGAGAACATCTGGTTTACAGTTCTCTAAAAGCAAATTTGGATTAGCCTAGAAATTAAGTGTGCATCATGTACGAACCACTGATTAAAATGTATTAAAATCTATAGACCTCATGGAAAGGTATAACATTCTCTACTACATAAGGATTTTCATAAGAACATCAGGAAAGTGGAAATACTACTTCTCTGATTTTTGGTATCAAAAATTGAAATAAATCTGGTTGACAGGTTACTGATCTACCCCTCTGCCAATCTGCCTTTATGTAGAAGTGAATCATGGGATTGTGGCGTGCTGGGGTTGGCTACCTAGTGACAGGCCTGTGAGACGGTAGGACATTGCTTCTTAGGTATCTATTTTCCAGTGTGTGTCCTTTGTACAGGATCCTGGCTGTATCCAGAGCATTCGTTTTGTGCCAGTACCTGAATCCTGAAGGCAAGTCCACGCCACACACCCTAAGACACAGAGCTGGCCCCACACCTTCAGTCTTCCTCCACCAAGTAGAGCTGCCTCAGGTCCAAGAATCACAGGTCAGTCCAAGAGCTCCTAACCCCACAGCCAAAAGAATCCTAAATTCCAACCGCTGTAAACCCAACCAGGAGAGAAAGCCCGTCTGAGGAGCCCACGATGGTGCCCGCCAGCACCGTTGCACACCCACAGAGGAGGACCTGGCACACACAGAGCTCATGGTGTTAGCATTTTGAAGCAGTCTCCCTGCTGACCCCAATGAAGGACACCCAGCCATGACAGGGACTGAGGTCCCATGAGGTCAGCAGAAAAAGCACGGGAATAAGATGTGCTCCCTCAGAGAAGCCAAAGACAAGAAAGTTCCAGCTGTATCACACACATAAAAATTCAGTGCGAGACACATAACCTTGCTTTCCCACACCTCATCTCCCTTCCCACTAAGAAGAAAATACCAAAATCGATACCCTGTGCTATTGTCTCCCCACCTGTTTCCTGCAACATCACAATGCAAAATGTTAGCTACAAATCTTGTTCCTAGTATACTTTCTTATCTGTGTGTCTTAGTGGGATTTCAGAGACTGCGAGGTCCAAACCCTCAGATTATTTCGTAGGAAATATGCACTAGGGCCCCCGTGCCTGGACCTGCGTGTGGAAAGGGCTTTCTGTCTGGAACACGGCCAGGGGCGTTTTGTGACTCACGTTCTGTAGCCTGCCATCTCCCTGATGAGGGCAGGGTGCCAGAGAATGGATGGGATAAAATTTTATTTTTAATTCCAGGAAATTTGCTTGATGTTCACAAATAATCTATTCAATCACTTTAGCAAAAGGGAAATGTTAAAATGATGGGAGGTTCCATTCGCCCAGGCTTGTCTGTGGTCTTTAAATCACTCTCCAGTCCATTGCTCTTGCTGGCATTCGGAGATGATTTTAATTAAGGACCCTTGACAAGGCACCATAGCCATTTAAAATTACTGGCTCAGGAAAATCTTCATAAAGATGGTTTTAAAGAGTTCAGAAATCCCAATAGTTCTCCGTATCAAGAGGGTGCACCATAAAATTGTAAATGAGAATGTGAGGCTATAAAGTGCCGTTGTTTTTCTGGTTTGACATTTCATAGATTCCAAGTGGGCCTAGCTTAGTGGCAAAACATAAATCACAGGACAGATCCGAATATTGTAAAACTTGAACATAGGAGCTTTTTAGGCTACAAAGTTCACAGTGACCGTAAGTATTCTAATAGTATGAGTTACTGCTAACATCATAATTATAGTGTAAAATGTAATTTTTATAGCAGAGGAGCACCAAAAACTCATTGCCAGAATGGACTTAATAGCTATGAATTAATAGATCAACTGAAATTATGGTGATTATTTTAACAGTGAGACAGACACATCTTTGGTGTTAAAACAGTGATCTCCAAGCCTAAGCAACACTCTTTTATTGTGATTAAAAAGAATTCCTTTTAACTTTCAGCTAACCAAAATGACCCCAGACCTGGGCCACCATTATTCCTTCTCCTGACCAGACGTCACCTCCTCAACCTCCGTGCTCCACCTAATACTATGCCCTTGACCTTGTGGTGAGGACTTTGCGTGAACGTCTCTTCCACACCAGAATATAAGCACGTGGAAGGTGAGAGCTTGTTTTATTAAGCCTCAGCATCCTCAGTTTCCCCAAATACATTCACAGTCAACAATTGTGACTTGAGTTGGGTTGAATTCAGTGAGCTGAATGATTTGGCTTGCATCAGAGCAGGCCTGCAGACGTCGCTGGCTGCAGAAAAGGACTGACACTCCAGGACTGGCTTTCAACTCAGACCTTATCCAAGGTGGGAAACAGAAACTGAGAAATTAGAGTTTATGAAACGGACATGCAGAGATCACTGAAGCATCGTATCTGCTCAAATTCGCTTTACAAAACCTTATTAAATTCAATTTCACAGGATATAGTTCACAGATTTAGAAATTAGTTGGATATCAATCAGCTTGACTTACTCTCGTAGGATTTTCTCTGAAGATAAACTGACTAGCCCGTCAGGCTGTGCAGTAGCCTTTGGTCACCCTCAAAGGCCTTCAGGGTCGGTGTGCTCCCTCATCTGAACACTCGCGGCCACATGCCGAGCGGGCGTGACGTGCACAGCTTACACTGGGGGCCAAAGCTTTGAGGAAACACAGCTCATTCTCACTCTTCCAAAGTAACCATCTATCAGTAAACTTTTTATTGCATTTATTTTAAAATCATGATTTAAGAAGTTATCAAGTGACTTTTTCCCCCCCTCAGGAAAAGCACTCTCTCTTTGTTAAATCAGTTATAAATCTGGAAACTAACCTTCTGGAAACAGGTGTTAAGCTTTGTAAGCCTGTCTCCTCAGTGTGGCTGGTAAACAGGCCTCGTGAAGATGCTTGGAGATAGGGACACCTGTGACATAGCGGAGGAGAAGGACACCTCGCTGCCTGTGCCCAGCAGGGCTGGAGCCCATGGAAACAAGTTCCCAATTAGCCTGTGCTTGAACCTGTGGATGAGGGGGGACTGGCAGCCAGAGAGGAAGTGGGGGTGTAGGAGAGAGGTGGGGTCAGAGCCATCCCCCTCTGCAGGTCCTCTGAGCCTGGGCTGCCACGTGACCTTGTCTGTACGCAGCCCCCCTCTCGCCCCCCCATCTGTTCACATGTTGTTCTCTCTGCACCAGGACAATTAGGTCACAGCAAAGACGAGCCCCTTGCCAAGTTTCATCTTTAGATCAAAACTGTTTACGTTATGCAAGTGTAAACAGACAGGCGAAGCTAAATCCCTCTGATGTGACTCGTGAGGCTTTATTATTACCTCTATTATTAACATAAGCACGCTCCGAAACCCAAACCACAAAAGGAGTACGTAACCAAAGGGCGTATTTAGGAGAAAAGAATAAAAAGTGAGATGCATCACTTGGCCCTACCGCAAGAGTAATTTTCTTTATAAACCATGGAACGACTACAAACTCGCCATCCTGTTCTCAGCAATTCCTTCACGAGCGCCCTGTCAGTTTTCTTCTTTATTCCCTTGGTCTGCCGTCCTCTCCCATATTTCTCCTTCATGTTCCTGAAATAGCGCAACATATTCTGAGGCAGGGGGCTGAATCTGCATTTTGCATCAAAACCTGTGACTTCCGTTCTATTTTCAGAACGTGAGTCTTTGTTCCACTGTGGCCTGGGAGCCATTCGATTGCTTGAAGAGTCATCAAGTTTTAGCCTCACAAGGAAGCTGGTGCCAGCCACCCAAACCCTCAATTCCCCTCAAGCTATGGGGCTGGCCCGGAGCCACCTAGCTGGTGAGGGGACAGTGAGGACCCAGGCCCACAGCTCCCATGCCCCCAGGCTGCTGCCCCTGCACTGGGCACAAAGGCTGACCTGTGGGGCCCACTGAGGCACAGACAAAATGCACCACCCGTGGGAACACAGTGAGGGTGCGACACCCTTTCCCCTTCACCTTAATGACAGGTGTGGAACACCAGTGTCCACAGGACACACAAGTACCGACTCCCGGATAGAAGCAAGCGCGAAACGGTGGGGTTTACGCTGAGCGGGCACTCTCTCTGACATGACTCACTCGCTTGCCTTTGGGCAAACAAGCTGCTAACATCCTCCTAATTCCTACCAGACACCCTCCCCTCTTCCACAGGGAGCCAGGTCTGGTTTCCACCGGCTTAGTGTCAACGACGGTTCTTCTTTTCTCTTTCCTGAGAGAGGGATGGGTGTGGATGAACTTTTCAGAAACAAAAGACTCTCAGCCCACTGACCCAGGTTTTTCTGAACTGCAGGAACTTTGCTGCAAGATTTCTTCTTAGCTTTTAGTGGATATTAACATAAATGTGACGGGGGCTCCAGCAGCCCCCGACCAACAGGAAGAGGGAGTGCTGTGCTCACACATGTCACACCCGGTATCCCAGGACCCCTGCGCTGGCCTGATTGTGAATTAATCTGTCACACTGGAGAGACGCGTGGCCCGCACTGTGGTCCGATGTTACCGTGAGACGTCACTGAGCATTTATGTTTTCAAAACACGCATTGTAATTAAAATATACCTTTGCTGTCTGTGTTCCTTGGTCGCATTTCTTTTGTCCTGGCTTTGATACATTTGGGGTACAAGTCTAAAATCTTGCCTGGACAACCAAACGTTGAACCAATCAGCCCACACAATGAGAAGGAGATGATTGTAAAACCCGTAAGATGTGCTTATCTGAATATAAAAATATTAATTTAAAGATTTAGAAGCATTTAGCTAAGTGTATGGTCACAGAGTGCCATTTCAGTATCTTTCGATTCCAAAAGTACTGCTTTGAATATGAAACCTCATTATTTCTGCCCACGTAAAACATTGTTTCGTATTTTACTGAAGGACCATCTAGAAACATATTACAGGCTGTTAACGACATAAACCTTATCAATCATTTCAGATTAGCATAGAGCGTAGGGATTAACCTAATATATACCCTCTCATTCTCTCATTTAAAGAGGGCTAATAGCTTATTTCAAAAAATAAAATAATTCGTGGTAACTACTGAAGTGAGGTCACGCGCGTTTCATAAGAGGACCGTGGGCCAGGCGGGAAGTTGCCTAAGTGAGGCTCTGACTTCGGTTTGCTGTAAGTTTGGAGAACGCTACAAATGAGCTCAAAAGTTTCCCTTTTGCCCCCCTAAGGGTGGACCAGAACTCCACTCCGCTTCCCAGTTGCCTCCTGCTTCCCTGATCACAGGCGGAAACGTGGCGTTAGGACACCACGGACGCATTCCGGAGCCCGACACCATCCGCTCAGGCCTGGTTCTCTCCTTGGCATCAGGCCCCGCCGGGGGCGGGATCGCCAGGATGGAGGGAGCTGCGGGCTCCTTGTGCGCGGACGAGGGGGTGAGTCCACTGCGCAGCCACCAAGGCAGCTCTATTGGGGTCGGGGCGGGGAACACGCTGGTTTTGAGGTCCATGTCTGTCCCTCTCAATTATCACAGGCGGGACAAGGGCAAGTTTTTCCTCTGATGGTATTTTCTAGAAAAGGCGAAGACTTGCTCTCTATTAAGCCAGACGCAGTGGAATGGCCGTTTGAAAACTGTGCGGCGGGGTTAAAGGACTGAGCAGAATCGCAGCCTCATCCATCAAATGGTTTGCTGGGCAACATGGGTCCAGATAGTTCAGGTGTTAGAAATACCATCATAAAGTTAGTTAATTCAAGGATGGCGGCCGTCAGCTCCGGCATCATTTACTAGGTGGCACTTTTGATGGGGTATCGCTGCTGTGTGATGATTTGCTGCCCCATGGCGATGTTTACTGCTCAGTAAAGAGAAGGTCCTAAAAAGATTATGGTTCCTGGGAAAGGAAATATAACCTTTGCTTTGGGAGAATGGAGCAAACGAACAAAGCATTTTTGGAATTTCTCGCCTGCCATGAAGGGGTGATGATTCCCCATAGACAGGCTCACTTATTTTATATCCTCCACAAAAGTCTTCAAGGGGCGGAATAAAAACTGCAGATACAAAAGGTAACTACCTTCCCTCCCACCAGGACCCTGGCACCCGTGGTCAGGACACGTCCCAGGAGGAAGGGCCCGTGGCGGGCGGACAGGAGTCCCAGCTGTATACCTGGCCACAGTACCTTTCTCTCTGAGAGCACCCGTGTCCTCTTTACACGGACACCGTGTTCTGGCATCAGGAACATGTTCATGGGAATTAATGAAAAGTGTTATTTAGACTTGGATTTGTCCTAAGTATCCATACTGTCCAATCTGGGTAGGGGTCCAAGGCTTTCTACGCATGTAGCCATTTCAAAGATGCAAATAAGTCCCAGCAAGCACAATGGGCATGGCTTGTGCTTCGGAAAGATTTTCAGAATGACCCTTCTTGAACTTAGGAAAATAAAAGAAAATGTAAGAAGTTAATCATGTCAATATTCAGGATTGGATAGTTGGGCTGGTTTTAAGAGCTCTGTGCCCCGTTTCCCGTTAGAGTATCTCCCGATGTTGGTGAGATGAGTCATCACTGCCGATGGAGCGTTTGCACTTTGCTGATAGTCTCTAAATTTGCATAACTCCTTTCCAAGCACCTCTCACCGCTCTGTTCCATGGCAGGCATTCAATTCATTCCGTGTTTATATGTCCCTCTGCTCCTCATTTAAGCAAAGCTTAGGACCTACTAGGTGCTGAACCATTGTGTACTCAGGGGTTTCCTTAGTTGCTGTCTCATGCCTACCCACCTTAACCATGTCATCTTTGCATAAAGAGAAGTCGTGGTGAGAAGAAGGAAAATGGCAGGAGACAGGAAAATCTCTCATTTAAACAGTTTAGTAAGATGCGAATCCCTAGTTTTCACTCAGTAAGCCTTTCTCCTTCCTTCCTTCCTTCCTTCACACTCCCATGTCCTTTATTCTTACTTCCTATTTTCTTTTCACTAATTCACTAATGGTTTAAAAGAAAATGGAATATAACAACAGCCCTAAATAGTATTTGTTGTACAAAGGATATGTATAAAAGGTCCATGCTCCTTTTGTGTCATTCCTGGGAGATTTCTCCAAGTCCCCAACTGTGTGTGTCCTTCCAGTTAGCACATGGTATCTGCCCCGTTTTTTTTTTTCCCAATGGGGATGCGTTGACTCAGAACTCTCGGCCAGTGAGACCTGGCCTGCTTCCTGCTTGCCTTAGCTCCTTGGACAAGCAGCTAGACCAGGCGGCCACTGTCCTTTGCACGGCCCCTCCCACCTGTCGACACCAATCCAGGTGTCTGTGCAGCACCTGGGCTCTAGGCCTGCACTGAGCCTTGTCTCAGATGCCTCACTCCCCTGGGTGGGTATTTCCAGCCCAGAGACCTCAGACAGGTTGTCCTCTGTCCTCTGTCCTCCGTATTTCACGGTTCGGCACACCGTCCTTCCCATCCTGTCAAACGCTGGCTCCCCACTGTGCACCCCTGCAGGCCCGTCCTGAGTCTGTCTGGCTGTGTGCGCTGTGCTCACCCTCTCTCTTCACACTCAGATCCTTTCCCTTTCCTCGCCCGCCTCTTCCACCCAGCACCCGGTGTTCCCGCCCATCGAGCTCTGCAGCTTCGTGGTGACACTGGGTTGGAGGGTGAGCGGGACAATGTACTCAGCAGGGGTGCCATCCCAGAGCCAAGAGCAGCCGATGGAGGCTAGCACACTGTCCCCTGCCCCGTCACTGGCACCTGGGGAAGGGGACGGACTCTGTCTCCAACCCTGTCTTTGCTCCTTCCCGCCTGCTGGAGAAACCACATCGCCTCTCAGGGCCACACTCACGT